ACACAACCTCCTTAACCGTAGATAAAACAAAACTATCATTGTATCTATATATGTCAAGAGATCGAATACGCACTTTGTCAATTTCAGCAACTACAGCAACTGTTGGCTCTTTAGGCTCCACCTTGCTACAAGCACCACCTGTGTCGATTACTCTGCTAGTACTCACTGCCTCAGGAGTTCCTGGTTACAACTCTACCTCAAGCTGAACACCGTTCAGATCCGTATAAACACCGCTATAACCACTCATAGCCAGAAGCATTGGAGACTCATCAAATGTAACTTCTCTGCTGATAACAGGTGAATTTAATTTCGGACACCACAACTTATAGCCCCGCTCACCTTATGCATAACCTAGGAACATACACTTTCTTGCCTTTCCATCGAGCTTACCATCACTAACTCGAACATAACATGAGTAACCAAATATCCTCTTAATAGAATAATCAGCAACGTTACCTGACCACACTTTTTGAGAGTTTGACATCCAATTGCAGTCAATAGGGATCTATTCTTCAGATAGCTCATCGTACTAAGTGCATCCATCAAGAATCTTCTAGCCATACCAGCACTAGAGAGCATTTTATGAGCCGTCTCTAGTAATATTTTGCTCATCAATTCTGCAACCTGTTATAGTTCATTGGCACTAGTACAGTATTTCACTATGCCTTCCTTCATGCAAAATTCATTTAGCAGCTTCGAGCAAAACTCTATACTACTGTCAGTCCGCACATGCTTGATCACTTTACCAGTTTCCTTTTCGATCAAAGCTTTCAACTGCCTGATCCTAACAATAGTATCAAAATTATGCCTTAGCACAAACACCCACGTCTTTCTCGAGTAGTCATTAATAACTGTTAGCATAAATCTGGTACTTTTTCTTGAAGGAAACCGTGATAACCTGCGAACATTCGAGTGAATTCATTCTGCAATCTCCGTGGTTTCTTTGATAATCGCATTGAAGTGCACTTTCCGCCGTTGATTTAAATCACAGCACCGTATACATTCAGTTCATTAGCAACATAACCACACAACAAATTTCTCTTACTTAGAACCTTCAAGCTTTTCTTACTAATGTGCCACAAACGCATATGCCACAATTCAGACTCTCGAACCGATGCATCCGACGATTCTGCAGCAAATTCCGTCACTGTCTCACCTTGAAGCTCATACAAGCCATTATGATTGATTCCTTTTATTATCACCATGGCACCTCGAGTAATTTTCAAAACTCCACATTCTGAAGAATACTGACACCCAGCTGAATCTAGGGCACTCAAGGAAATGAGATTTTTCTTCAACTCTGGAACATGCCTCACTCCAGTCAATGTCTACACAATACCATCTTACATTCTAATTCTAACATCACCAACACCTATAACATCACACTAAGCATTGTTCCCCAACTGCACTTTACTACTATCCGTGCACTAATAAGTAGTAAACCAGTTCCTATTTGATGTAGCATTAAAAGAACAACCAGAATCCATAATCTATCTATCAAACGATGAATAATTAGTGACAAACAAGACAAAATCAGCATTATCCAAATTACTGATAGCTATAGCTGCAACATCATCCGCAGACTCAACTCTAATTCCCTTACCTTTCTCGTTCTTCAGCTTAATGCAATCCCTTCTAAGATACCCCCTCTTGTCACAACTCCAATAGACAGCACCACCAGTCATAGATTGACTTCATCTATTCATGTTTATACTACTTCTGTTAACACGTGTACCAGTTCTTCCTCTATTTTCACCTACTAAAGCAACAGATACATGTTCACCGGATTCTTTTTTACGGATGTCCTCACTCAGAATTAAATCTCAAACACCGTCAAACGTCAAACTTGTTGACCCAGAGGAATTAATAATAGCAATAATAATAGTATTCCAACTATCAGGTAATGAGGATAATATAATCAAAGCACGTACCTCATTTTCAAAGTCAATCTCAACTGAACTCAATTGACTAACGATCACATTGAATTCATTGATATGATCAGCAACTGACGTACCTTCGCTCATCTTCAAGTTAAACAGACGTCGTATCAAATAGACTTTGTTGATCGTAGAGGGCTTCACATACATGTCTGACGGGACTTCCATTAAACCCGCAGTGGTCTTCTCTTTCACGATGTTAAACGTGACGTTACGGGCCAACGTTAGCCGAATAACACCCAAAGCTTGTCTATCTAGCAATTCCTAATCAGTTTGCTTCATCGTCTCTAGCTTCTTCCTAGATAAGGGCAAGTACAGTGTCATCTGATATAGATGATCATCAATCTGCATCTTCCAGAAACCAAAATCCTTCTCATCAAATCTGTTGATTCTCAATTTTCGTTCTTCTGTCGCCATCGATTCGCTTCAACTCAGTCTAGCCTAGCTCTGATACCAATTGTTGCGGAAGCAAGTGATCGAATAGTAAAATTGACAAAATAAGAAATTAAATCGAACACCAAATTTACGTGGTTCGATCGTAGTGACCTACGTCCACGGGGAGAGCAGCATCAAATTCTACTATAGATCAAGCGATACAACGGAAATTACAACCACACTCGAGTCACTCAAACACTCTCGATGTTTCCCAAGCACCAATTACACCCAATAGCGCAAGCAGTGTTTAGCCTCACAATTCCTCACGAAATAATCTCTTAATCTCACGAAGGAATTATATACAAATATTACTGCAAGATTTAATCGCTTCAAATACTCGGATATCTTCAGAGTATAATTCACTAGCAAAAGTTCCTCTTTGATGATCTTCACAAATAACATCCCCATCTTATTTATAGAAAAGAATTGTATCCAAATTAGGAAACCTCTTTTTCGGAAACCTTCTCCAATTAGGAAACCTTTTCCAACTAGGAAACCATTTAATTAGAAAACCTATTCAAAATAGTAAACCTACTTGAATTAGGAAACTTTCCTTTTCGGGCTCAATATAGAGATATAATTTTAACAAAGAGTGTCATCTGGTCTTCAAATTTGTCCAGGGTTCTAAAAAATCCAGTTGCCCAATTCTTAGACACTGGAAATCTTGTTCTCAGAGAGAATACCAGTCTAAATTCTGATGATTATTCATGGCAGAGTTTTGATCATCCGTCCGACACACTCCTACCCGGTATGAAATTAGGATGGGACCTGAAAATAGGTTTAGAAATGCGTCTAACTTCTTGGAAAAGCATGGATGATCCTTCCCCTGCAGATTATACTTATAGGTTGAACATTCACGGGTTGCCTCATACCGAAATTGTCATCAGCTTAGGATCCAGCAAGAATTATCGGATAGCACCATGGAACGGAATACAGTTCAGTGGTGCTCCAGTGAGACCGAATGCAGTGACCAAGTTAGTGTTCTTCTATGGTGAAAGTGAGATCTTTCTTGTACTTGAAGTCAGAAAAAGTGAATATATCGCAAAAGTACTTACAATGAACCATTCAGGGTCGCTCCAGTTATATGTTGCAAGTAAAAGAACCTATGCCTGGAATATCATGTACTCAGTGCCCAACGATCCATGCGATGCTTACAATACTTGTGGAGCCAGTGGTATCTGTAGAATTAACAGAGCTCCCATATGCGATTGCTTAAAGGGGTCTGTACCAAAGCCTCCAGAAGAATGGGATGTCCTTAATTGGTCCAGTGGATGCATGAGGAGTGCCAATAAATTGTTCGAAGGAAGAAGGGTTCCTCAAACTTTCAAAAGTGAAACTTCCTGACCTGTTAGAGTTCTGGTTGGACAAGAAAATGAGCCTGGAGGAATGTGAGGCCGAGTGCTTAAAGAACTGTTCATGTACAGCTTATGCTAATTCAGATGTTAGAGGACGAGGTAGCGGCTGTCTCCTGTGGTTCGAAGCCTAATTGACATTAAGGAGTACGAAGAAGATAACTATGGGCAAACTCTATACATCCGCCTACCAAAATCTGCACTAGGTACTTAGTTTGCCAACCATTGCTTTTTTTCTGTAGACATTCTATCTTTTAACCAGCTTATTCAGGAACAGCAGTCTAGAAGATTGCATTTAATCTTCTCAGTCTTCTCCATCCTAGATGTCCATCATAACTCTGCCAAGAAGAAAAGGATGGTCATAAGCATACTGATGTCAGCTATTTTTGTATTGACCATGGTGTACTGCCATCGAATCAGGAGTTGCAAAATAAAGATCAAAGGTCAGTAACTTTGGATCTATGGATCTACACCTCCAATAAATACAAAGAGACCTTAAGACCCTTTTGTGAGGTTAACATATGCTTTGGCTAAGATTTTTGTAGTAAATGGTCGCTTTCACGTTGGAAAATCAAGGAGGAAGATGCTGACTTGCCACTTTTTGATCTGGCTACCGTTGTTAATGCTACAAACGGTTTTTCTGAGGATAATCTGTTGGAGCTGGTGGCTTTGGACCAGTTTACAAGGCAATGAGCCATGCATATTCCAAGACAAAGTTAGCTGCAAACAGAGTGATCATGTTTCATTGTTTAACACGTCTACTCTAACCACATTATGCAGTGTCATCTTTTCACAGGAGAAGAAGTAGCGGTGAAGCGACTGTCAAGAAATTCAGGACAAGGTCTTGAAGAGTTTAAGAATGAAACAATTCTGATAGCCGAACTTCAACACCAGAATCTTGTGGGGCTTCTAGGTTGTCGCATGGAGTTGGTCTATGAGTACATGGAAAACAAGAGTTTGGATTATTTTATCTTTGGTTAGGCCACTAGACCCTTTTATCAAGATGTTACTTGATCATGATGCTATCTGTGCACCGAACTTAATTTCTCTGGTTGACTAAACTATACTTATCTGCATATGCAGATCGTGAAAGATGCTCATTGTTAGACTGGGAAAAACGTTTTGACATTGTCGTTGGAATTGCGAGAGGTCTTCTCTATCTACACCATGATTCTAAACTTCAAATAATTCACCGGGATCTCAAAGCTAGCAACATTTTATTGGATGGCAGCCTAAGCCCTAGAATCTCGGACTTTGGGTTGGCAAGTTGCATGTGATGAGAAAGAAGCAAAGACTGAGAGTCAGTGGTTAGTAAGAATTCGTTGTTCCAGAAAATCTCTAAATAGGACCACATGTTATGTTAGAAGACTAATACCAATCATTTTGTCATTACAGTGGCTATATGTCCCCTGAGTATGCCTTTGATGGGAAATTCTCTGTGAAATCCGATGTCTTTAGCTTTGGCGTGCTTTTGGTAGAGATTGTAAGTGGCAAAAGAAATAGAGGATTCTGCCACCCAAATCATCACCATAACCTTCTCGGACATGTACGAGAAAAGATCCAGAGCATACGTTGTTCTCCCTTATCTCCCTCTTTTTGTCTTGCATTACTAAGCCTGAGATGCGATTTTTTTCAGGCATGGTTGCTTTGGAGTGAAGACAGAGCCATGGAACTCGTTGATGGGTGCTTGTATGATTCGGTGGAACCTCAGGTACAAAGATGCATCCATATCGGCTTGTTATGCGTGCAGAAGTTCCCCAACGATAGACCGGCGATGTCCTTTGTAGTCGCCATGTTAGGAAATGAAAGTGCAAGCTTGCCTCGACCTAAACAGCCTGGTTTCTTTATGGAAAGAAGTTCAATGGACTTAAGCGCAACCCTTAAGCATGAAGAACTCCACACTGTTACTGCAGTCACGGTGACAATGTTGGATGGTCGGTAGTGCGTTTTTGTGAGGAATTGCAAATAGATCCGACAAATGCCATTAATTGTTTACTCCATTCATTATCAAAGACTTCTTGATTTGTGTGTTTGGTATAAAATCCAATGTATGCAGGTCCAAAAAACCATTGACCACAGAGGGTTGATCAAATCGGTAGAATTTTTTTTTGTTGCCTTCTGCAAGTGATAGTATAACTTATGATCTATGTTCTCTGGAAGTTTCATATGCACGTGAGGAATGATATCTTCTTCCATCGTGGACATTTCCTGACCCTTTTAGCTGGATGGAGCTTGAAAACCGGTTTTCGAAGGATACCTGACTTCTTGGGGGAAGCATGGATGATCCTTCCTCTGGAGACAATGCCCATGGTATAAATATTAATGGGCGGCCCCAATTGGAAGTGTTCCACGAAAACTTTATGTAAGTGTGAAGGAAAACAAAATTCATTTCACAAAATAATTAATGACAATCTAGGGGAAATTAGTTCTTGAATAAGGATATACAGTGAAAATAATTAGAATGAGGTCATGAGTACGTGAGACAATTGATTCAGAATGGTACCATAACAATTTTTCTACATGAGGTCAAGCAAGAATCTAGCTTACCCTTTTACAAAGGCACTACCAAGAGAGGTAGTAAAAATGAGCTCAAAAGAAGTGGGGTTGAAACCCTTTAACTTAAATCACCTGTGATGGTAACCCGATCTAATACTAGTAAATCACTAGTTATAAGATTTAATGGGTAAGAACAAGTTGCTAAAAGTAATTGTTTGCTACTAACAATAGCCCAGACATGAGAAGTCGGTATTGTCTGTTACGTTTTAGAGGTTGAATTATATTCTTAATGAAGTACAATACATTAATGTATCATGTTCATTAGTAACAGAAACACGTGATAGATATTTCACCTATATGAGCTTAGAAGTGGTGTCGCTTCTTACAAAAGTTAGGGTTGCTTTCTAAAGAACTCATGAAAACGTACAAGCACAAGGCCATAACAATGCTAAGTAAATTATAAACTTCCCATTGAAACAAGAGGTTAGTATATATGCAGTATGTCCGATTCTATTACTAAAAGTACCAAGTTTAAAACCAATAGCTACTAGTGACTTTGATAAAGCTTTGAGATACTTACACTAATTGAAGGTTTAACTCGAAAGAGACCCTTCATGTATGTATATTGATCTCATGGAAATTTAGTTTTATCTTATTTTAATTTTTTTTATTATTTTTTTTTTACAAACAAAGTGGGGGATTGTTAGTGTTTGTTTGTAAAACAAACAAGGGTTAATACCACGAAAAATACTAAACTGGTACAGCTGTGATAATTTTACCACAAGCTATTTTTTTTATCACAAAAAATTTCAAACTGGTACACCCGTGACAAATTTACCCCGAACTATTTTTTTGACTACCAAAAACCCCAAACTTGTATACTTGTGAAAATTTTACCCTGAACTAATTTTTTAATATTATTTTTATTTTTTCGTATTTTTTATTTATTTTTTTATTTTTTCTTTTCTTTTCTTTTCTTTTTTTCCTTCATCTTCAACCTCTGGAGCCGGTGAGGTCGGCCCCACCGGACGCTGGCGAGGCTCAACCTCGACATTGCTGGGCGAGTTCGAGCCTCGCCAGATCTTCTTCATCTTCAACCTCTGGCCAGTCACCGGACCGACTATCGGCCAGAGGCGGAAGCCGGCGAGGTCGGCCCCGCCGACCGCTGGTGAGGCTCGACTTCGCTGTTGCTAGGTGAGGCCGACCTTGCCGTTGCAAGGCGAGGCTGACCTCGCCAGACCTGGCGAGGCTCGACCTAGCCATTGCTGGGCGAGGCCGACCTTGCCAGTTGCCGGCGAGTTCGAGCCTCGCCAGATCTGGCGAGGGCTTGGCACCGCCGACAACTGGTGTCACGCCCCGAACCCTACGACACTTGACAACTCTACCGCGGTCGATTTAGTGCGATGTCCCAGGAAGCGTCACCGACCTAAAACCCAAATCAGAGAATAATGCACATGCGGAAGTAATCATACACCCGAACATAATTAAACATGACCAAGGATAGCAACAAATACCATGAACACATACTTGCATTAAACAAGGGGATTTACAATATCCATTAACAGAAATATACATACAACCAAAACGGGTCAGCAAGCCACTAACATCAAAAAGGGGTACGTGGCTCGGGGCGGTCAGGTACTATCTCCAAAAAGGACTCTTCCAAAAAGTGTCGGCCCTAAACCCTAGTTATGGTCAGGCTAACCCCTAAGGTAACCAATCCGGGTCGAATCCCGAAGACTCGGATGAATCATCGGATAACTCGAACTCGGAGTCCATAGACTCAGGCTCGGACTCGACTTCTGCTGGCTCCTCCTCGGAATCATCCTCCGGCTCTGGCTCCATCTCCATCGGCTCCGGCTCGGGATCGGACTCCCACTCCATTGGCTCCTCTTCCTCAGGGTCGGACTCCATGTCCATCTCAAAGATGATGGGCCGGGGGTCAGAATCCTCCTCAGACACGGCATCGGGGCTGACTACCTCCCCATCAGCTGTCTGTGGGTCCCATTGACCTAACCCGTCGATCGGGACATCAAAAGTCCTAAGGGGCCCATAAATGCCGAACTGGTCCCGAAAACACCAATCAAGGTAAGGATGAGCCTGAAACTGTGGCTTGCCCACGTCGACCCAAACAATAGTATAATGCTTAATATAAGTCTCCCCGTTCCCAACAGGGTACTCAATCACCGAACGCTCTATGCGGTACGGGATCCCAAAACGTATCGGTACGCCTACCATCCTCAAGGTCGGGGGTCTGAAAAGTGGGGTTTCAACAACAGTGAGAACGAATCTCAGCGAGTAGGCCCCCTAAACCTAAATTAGGCTAACATGCACCTCCATAACAAGCATTAACCAAGCAACAGTCCAGTACACAAATGACTTAGGCCCTCGGGCCCAAATCCAACACATATTCGACCTTGCAAGTTAGGCACATAATAACAACAATAATAACGCAGAACCCAATCATGGCACATACACGAAATCACTTGGCCACAAACACATGCCATGCACATGCTTGCACTCGTTAATGAACTCTCGCACATGTACCGTTACCATACACGTGCTCATGCTCATTTATGCACACTTGCACACGTGCCAATTTCTCAATTAACTTCCGACCCGCGTAAAACGCATCAGGTCCATCACTTCCCAATCGATCTCCGGCCCGCGTTAAACGCATCAGGCTCATGACGCAACCCGCGTAAACGACGCCTCAGGTTGGCCATCTTCCGGTAATCCGGGCATCGTCCCGCGTTAAACGCCTCAGGACGGGTTCATTACCCTGCGTAAACGATACCTCAGGGTTTATGTGATCACACGTACACAATTCACCGATTATTATCTGAACCCCGCGTAAACGACGCCTCCGGGCAAGTTAGGTGATCACATGCTCAATGCCACTAGTGCAAACTCGCATGATTCACATAACATGCCAACACTCATTATGCACAATTCATGGCCATATCATCCCAGGGCTCAGAGCATCAATCAAATTCACATTGAGCACTCAATTCAACATAACAACATGCTCAATTAACCAATTAAATCAATTCAGCTACGGCCCATCAATTAGTGCACAAAATTTACACCAATGAATCATTGAAATCACACGTGCTCATGGCCTACAAAGTTCCTCATCCTTCGGCCACATCAACACCCAATACGACATTGCACAATTACTTACAAATCATGCCCAAATCAGCCTCCTCATGGTCCAATCACAGTACACTTGGCAATTCACATTAAAATTACAAACTAGCAATATGTTGGCCATTCAAGCCCACCTTACTCAGCCACAAACCAGACCACTCTAGGTCTCCAAATCATCTTTAAATCATCACACTAGGCCATCAAAATCATCTCATTAACAAGCCTAATCACCAGCCAACAATTAACCCCTAAAATACCCTAATTAACCCCTAAACTTGGCTAAAAATGCACATAATCCTAATTAGGATTTAGGGTTTCCAATCACCCAAATCCTAAGCTCCAAACAAGAGCTGAATAAGGGGGAAAAACGGGCTAGGCGGTGGCTGGTTCACGCTGGGCCGGCAAGGAACTCCGGCGGCTCCATAGCGACGGCGCTTGGGCGGCAGTCTCACGGCCTCACACGGCCAAGGGTGGCCGGACGATGCTGATGGTGGTGACGGGAAGAGAGAGAGAAGGAGAGGGTGAGACGGTCGGGTGGTTGTGGTGGCGATGGGCTAGTCGTGTGAACGGCTGCAGCGGCGGCTGGTGGCTCCCGGCTGGGCAAGGCGGCAAAGGGGGGTGCTGGTGATGGTGGTGGTGCCGCGGAAAAAGAGAGAGAGAGAGAGAGAGAGAGAGAGAGAGAGAGAGATGAGGGTGGCTGTGGTGGCGGTGCGTGAGGCGAACGGGCGGCCAGCGACGGCGGCGTGGCCGCGGCGGTGGTGCTCTGGCGGGGCTGGCTTCACGCGACCAAAGGGGGAGAGAAATGGAGAGAGTGAGGCGAGAATGAGGGGGGGAGTGGCCAGCCAAAGTGGTGAGAATGAGATGAGAGAGAGAGACAATGAGAGTTTAAACCAAAGCTTGAGTGGGAGTTGTTGGCCAACCCCACTCACAAAGACAATCCTACCCACCCCACTAACAACTTGATCTAATAGCTGGAATTTTAAGGCCAATCAACTCAATCCACAATCAATAGCCAAGATTGGTTCTAGACCAAAATATCTAGGGGCAACTTGGGGATTAGCAAAGGTGATGGGGGCTCATTGGTCCAAGAATTTCGGCCACGAATGGGGCCTGAACATGTTCAATAATTCGGAACTAAGGCATGGGGCTTAGGGGCAAAACGTTAATTTTTCACTCCCGGTCCAAAATTCCATTTCTCGACCATACCGATCCCAAATATGGTTGGCCACACTAATATGACGTCGTCCTTGCAAATTAGTTGCGTACGTCCGTGAAATTCGACACTCAAGTCCGGAT